ATGTATGATCATGAATATGACACTCATTTTTCACATTCGTGCTGTTTAACGCATACTTTCTGCTTTTCTAAGCTTTCTCACCTACAGCGCCTACGACTAAGCTTAGGGGAGGGGAGTGAAACTCCGGAGTGGGTAAACCACGCACCGTGTGGCAAAAGTTGGAGTGTGTCAGACCACCAGGGGAATGGCCTACCCACTTTGGAGCCCTACACTACTCAAAGGCTTAGTCCTATTGCGATCTAATTAGTGCGAGGGCGCAGACGAGCAGGAAGCAGGCGCCGAATAGCGCTAACAAACAAATCATAGTCGGCGACGGTATTCAAATCCTGTCCCCAGGGGATATATCCCCAAACCAGGGTCAACCGTCCGTTCGAACAGTTCGAACGGGGGGGGGTCGCATTTGGGCTCTGGGAGGGAAAAGGGGGTCGCATTGCGCGCGCTTTGGTCATCAGGCAGGGCAGAGGTGTGTGTGAAAAAAAGCAAAAAAGTTGCCGTTTCAGTGGTTGTATATACCCCCCCCCCGCTCGACGGCTATTTTTGGGGAAAAAGTAGGCGGAGTTTCGGAGTTTTAGGTAGGTTTTGGGCTGTGTCAACTGGTCTCAGAATCAAATACTATAGAAGAGAGGGAAGGTCGCGGTTGGGGGGATGGCTGGTGTTGTAATTGGGGGGGTCGCAATTGTGCATTGGTGGGGGTCGCAACTGGACCCCTTCCAGAGGGGGGGGGGTCGCAAAATTCCCGAAAATGTTCGAACGCGCTGACGGGGATATATCCCCCTACTCTGATTCAATCCTCTTCAATTCTGGGGGGACAAAAAAGGGTTGCGTCATAGGACCTAGCATACCTCTGTGTTTCTACCTGCCAGACAGTTAGAGCAGCGCGACCCCTCAGGGAAAAGAGTGCTTCATCAGTGGAGGGTAGTCGCGCTGCTCTAACTGTCTGGCAGGTAGAAACACAGAGGTATGCTAGGTCCTATGACGCAACCCTTTTTTGTCCCCCCAGAGGATTGAATCAGAGGAGGGGGATATATCCCCCTGGGGGAAGGATTGAATACCGCCCCTGGTTAGAAGTTGTTCATAGTGATAGCTGATTTCTGGTAAATGATAGTTGTAATTAGTGACAATCGATAGAATACAACTGCAACAGGCTAATCATTTCATTGGCAGAAAAACATTAACATTTTGTGAAGGCCGTCGTCACTTGTGGTGCATGGTCTGCACCCGACACTTTCTCGCTTTTTGAAGGTCTCAGGACATCTGTCAACCGTGAGCCTTGGCGGTTCAGCGTTTTGTAGTGATGTCTGGGAGCTCTCACAAGTGCACACTATCACAGCATCTCCTCTTTCTTTATCTTCTTCAAAAGGCTTAGTCCCAATAAGACACAAAGTGTGTGCTTTTCCAGCTACGCTCTCACCCTTTGGTTGACAGAAGCCTTGTAACCGATTTCCTGCTGTGCTTACTTGAGCGTTTAGGTAACAGTGGCGGCGGCACTCGTCACTCATCACCATTGGGATCATGCAGGAGGAATGGCTGAGTTTAGAAAAATTTGGAAAGCGGATGAGGCTGGAATATATGGCGGTGACGAGCGCATTGATCATCTTAACAATAGGGTTGACCATGAAGAAAAGTTCACCGTCGGACAGATGGAGGTGAGGCAAATGGATTCTTCTTCAGTGAATATGCATTTGTACACATGTAATCATGCATATCATTAAGGTAACAGCTTTGAAAACTCCTTGTCATACGAAAGGGCACATTTGTTACTATGTTACTCATCCAGACAGCGACAGCCGCATCGTTCTCACTGGAGATACGCTCTTCATAGCCGGCTGTGGAAAGTTCTTCGAAGGTATTGATAATTCTTTCCCATTTTCATTGATAATCGTAACTGAATTTACAACATGAGAAAAATTTCTCCCATTGCTTGAAATATTGAGGAGAAATAGAAGTCTGGATATGGATGATACAGATACCATCTTTAGGTTTGCCTAAGGGGTTCCAGATAGAAACCTGCCTAAATCGTTCAGGTTTTTTGTCCCTCCGAGATTGGCTGATTCATTTGGGAAAGTAAGAGCTCTGAATCTTACACTACTTATCTTTTACCAATCTCTTTACTGGCTAGAAACGCATGGAAACGCCACGGTTGTTTACGACCTTGAATGCTGATCCCAGAAGAGATTCACCGATTCTGATTGCTTTAGCATTTTTTGCGTTTTCTTGAGAAATTCCGCACCACCTTCACTCTCACTCCTGATTTGGTGATTTTGCAGTTTGATTCAGCCAACTCTGGGATTTTAAATAACGTGATTGATGGTAAAAGTTCTTGCTTCACGAAAGGCCCGGTATGCTTTTGTTCGCTTGTCTGGATTAGCTGTCTAGAGCTCTTCTCTTCTCTTTTGGTCACTTCTCTGTATTAACTGTTCAGATTCTTTTCTTCTTTTCAGTTTTCTTTCAAGCTTTCTTTTGAGTTTTGTCCTCTTCAACTCCACCCTCGTACCTTACTTTCCTACAAGTTTTGTGTCGGTTGTGATCTCTAATGATTCACTCGATTAATGGTACGGTAGTGGTCCACATCAATATCGAAAAAATACGAAAAACTTGAAAATTTCAGGAACTGCTGCCGAGATGCATCGCAACTTGAATGAAGTACTGGCCAAATTGCCAGATGACACCCTTGTCTATCCAGGGCATGAGTACACCTACAGTAACTTGAAGTTTGCCCAGCACATTGAGCCAAGCAATGAGGTGCGTTCGAGAGCTGAAATCGATTTATTTCCTGAACAATTGAATTCTTTGTTCTTCGCTCAAGCTCTTCTCGCTTCAGCCACTTGAAGTTTTCGTTACAGAATGTGAAACGTAAATTGGAATGGTCTGCCCGTTGTCGCGAACGAAATGAACCAACGGTTCCTTCGACTATTGCTGAGGAAAAGGAGATAAATCCATTCATGAGAACTTCATCGCCTGAAATCCAAAAGAAAGTCGGTGCCACAGATTTGATCGACGTGATGGCCCGCGTGCGACAGGCGAAAAACAGCTTCAGGGGCTGAAGGTTGACTACTTTGATATTTTATAAAGCATCTCTAAACTGCTGTACCTTGTATGTATACTTCGTAGTACCCTATGTGCTTCTTTTTCGATAAAGCACTTATCACGGATTTTTCCAGTCTCAAATGGACGTCTTATCGTTGTCAATACATACACGTATTTGTGAATTCTTAACGTAGCGCTGGTTGAAAAGCTTTCTCACTAGAGACATGAACGATTCGGGTGATCTGAGGGACGATCTCAGTCTAGCTCAAGGAGCTGTTTTGGTGAAGTCTTGTGAGGTAATTATTGGTACGCTTTTTATAAGCCTAGCCTTTCACCAATGAGAGTTAGGCTGTTATCGAATCGTAAACAAAGCTTGTCAAATTACCCAGCTTTACAGCGTTGCTCATTCAGCTGTCAGCTTCCTCCTCTCTTGACCTTTTTGTTCGGAGCAACAACCCTAGATGGACCCATATTTCTGCCCCTGAACTTGTGAAAAGATACGTGAGCCTAGCCGAGAACATATGAAGTGTTTCTGAAGCAAAAACAACTTGAAAAGTTGCTTTGAGGAGCTGGATAGGTGCCAATTTTGGCCCATCTGCCATTTGTTTGACACACCCATCTGCTAGCTGTGGAGATCGCGTGGTTGGCTGCGCGGACATGTGCGATTGTTTGAGGACTACTCGAACTAGGTTCTTTGAACCGCCAGAAATACCCGGATGCGCCAGAATCCTGCCTGATTCTGGACCAAACGTTTGCCGGTCCCGTCTTAGCTGTTGAGGACTCTGTAATGTTGCAAAGTTGTATATGTTTTTTCTTTTCTTCTTCAAGCAAGGAAATCAGCTGCAGGTTTTCAGTAGTTATGTTTTTAGCAAGCACTTTCGCGCAACTCTTCCGCCCCGCCCCTTCCTTATTTCGAGAAGGAATTGAGGGTGCCCCTTTTTAAGGGTTTCATTGGCGGTTTTCTGCACTTCTTCTCTCACTTTCGGTCAACTCGGCATCCGCAACTTCAATACCGATTACTTTTTCCCCAAAAAATCGATCTAAAGTTTTTGCTTCAAAGGTGCATGGTGCGAAAAATGGTTGCCCATTGGAGGAGGTGAATAGAGGTCGTAGAGGGTGCCCGACTGGTCAATAAAAATCCGAAAGGAAACAGCTTATGGACCCCTTTTTCCCTTTGATGATATCTGCTTCAGACGAACCAGTGACCAAGGCGAGCCCGTTCGCACGTGCCAACTCCAAAAGGCGATATGATGCTAAAAATATCGCCTTTCATTAATAACACATAAAAGAACTATAAGAAACGGCCGCTGAGCATGGAACCCTCTCAAAAGGCAGAGTAAAGCCCGCGGAGTAAACGGACCGGATCGCGGCAGGCGGCAGTGTGCCTACCTCTCCTTTCCCGTATCCCATTCACCGGAACATTCTCCTTTGAAGGAAGTGGTCACGGAAATCCTTATGGAGACGATAGGGAAAGTGACATAGTGGATTGGGTAGGGGTCCTACCCAATGAGACGACAGGTGACGCTTCAAGGGCAGTGGCGCCTTATCAACGGCGTGATAAGGCGCCGAAACCCACTTCCGGTTCGGCGTTGCACCTCCTTATCAGACGTGGAAGGGGATGCAGTAGCAACGTGCTAGATATGATACGGTTATCGTTATCGTTCGATTTTCATGCTGGAGTGCACCTCAATAAGCAGCCGTATCTTCTTATCTAATCGTATCGTATCTTCCATAGGGTTACGCTCGTCCAACACCTACCTATCTCCACCTTATCTGTGATTA